GGGGTGGGGGTGGGCAGGGAGGAGGCACAGGCAGGAATGATTCTAATGTGCAGGAGTGTGAGGGCCACCAGGAGCTCAGGCTGGGAAGGGAAGGGAAATCATGCATAAAACTTACACTTTCTGGAACACAAGAAAACTTCTCTGAAATCATAAAAGGCACACCATCCATTGCTGCAAAAGAGAAAAAGAGAGAAAAGGGCATTATAGACACCACCATGCTCAGTAATTGAGATGTTGACACAGACAGTACAAGGCAGTGGGTGACTGGGGCCAGTCACTCTGCACACAGGTGAGTAGGGCCTAGGGAGACGTGTGCCCAGGTACCACCCCTGCTCCTGAGACAGACACTTGGGGCAGGAGGCAGATGCTCTGCATATCCATTGAAGAGCAGGCAGTTGTGTAGACAAGATTTGTGAGAGCAGAGAAGGGTCCAGTGCCCACCCTAGGAGCCTGGCCTCTGGCCTGTAAATAGTACGAGCCATGAGGGGCTGCCAGCAGGACAGTGGTGTAGGGAGCTGAGGGGACAGAGCTGTGCTTGCAAGGTGGGCTGTAGTGGGTGTGTTAGACACTCTCTCAGCTGAGAGCATTACATCTCAGGCTGTGGGGCCCCCAGGAAAGGTCTAGGTTGGAGGAAAGGGTGGTTTGGGGGTCAGACAGACTGGGTTTGAATCCTGGCTGTGGCTTTGGACGAGCTTCTTATGTTTCAAAGGAGGACACAGGCCTGCAGTAAAGGTGCGTGTGAGCTGGCGGTGTGTGCAGCGCCCACCCAGTGCCCAGCACAGAGCAGGTAAGGGGGCTGCACAGGCACCTTGGTGAACTCGGTCTCAGTCCCCAGATTCCTGAGCTGACTCAGGGCTTACCAGGACATGAGAGTAAAGGTAAGAATGACTCTCCGAACGCAAATGGGGAGGGTGAGCGTGTGCATGCGCGCGTGTGTGTTAGTGGTGCATTCCTCTTCCACAGCCCTCTACCACTGTGTCTCCAGGTCACTGTCATCAAAGGCACATGGAGAAAACCACGACCCAGCACAGCATCTGCGAGTACGTTCTCTCCTGGGACAGGTGCACTTTGTGAATTACAACGTCAGAGGAGGAGTGAAGCCACACCAGTGCTGGATACCCTGGCAGAGTGACCAAGTCACATCTGACAGGACAGGACACGGGGCATGCCCAGTGTGAGGCTCAGCAGCCCTGGGAGAGTCTGGGGCTGGCTCCTCTGTCAGGTCCCAGCAGGGCTGGGAATGGGCAGAGGCCAGGCCCCTCTCGCTGGTCTCAGCCATTAGGTCGGGAACTGGAGCCCAGTTGGCTTGGGGGCCTCACCCCGCGGGTAGAGTTGTTTTCTGGTAATTGTGGTTTTAAGAGGAAATGAAGTGACAGACCAAAAGCCATGGTGAGTAGTTTCCTGGGAAATATGGTTTTTGCTTCCCCCAATATCTACAATGGGGGCTTCTCTGGTATATAAGCGGTGGACAACTTTCTCAGTTCTAAGAAAGAAGAGTCACACCAGAAAGAAGAAAAGCAGCAGAAAAGGAAATAGGAGAAAGAAAAGAAATCTAGGACAAATCCTCTCTGATCAGCAAGAGGAGCCAGTGGCTCACTTTAAACATGCTCCTAATTTATTTCAGGGAAGAGAATGAAACTTTCTTTTCCCTGAAATAAACTTCTCTGGTAAGTCCGAGGAGAAAGAACGAGCCCAGCAGCTGCACTGGATGCCTCCTCCATTCTTTGGAAGGCTGCTGTCCAAGGGTGGCCACCAGCCCAGACAGAGACTCCTTGGTCTCCATTGCAGGGGTCCTGCACTCTGCCATGACTGCCAGAAGCAGACTGGCTAAGGGCTGTGAACAGTGCCACATTTCCCCAGAGAGGAGGGGAAAATGTCCCAAATAATCATATATAGTACATCACACTCAAACACACCAGTGAGGTCTGAGCACCTATGTGTGTGCTCATTTACAGGTACAGAATCAGTGACCAGGTCACATGCCTTCCAGAAAGGGCAGGACTATGCCCCAAGCAAGATCCCTTCTGCTGTATGCCCAACGTGGACTCACCCCCCCATAGGTGACTTCCTACCCCTTCACTACACCACGGCATGAGGCACTTGCATTTCCGATCATGTCACAGATTGGGGATCAGAGGCTCAGAGAGGTCACACAAGTAGCAAGCACAGACTCCACAGTCCATGAGGTATGAATGGAATTTCTGAATAAAAATCTCCTGCTTCCACACCAGGGCCCTTCAAGGTGTTGACCATTACCACGCCCTCCCTGAGTCTCCCAGTGGCCCTTCTCTAAGTTCTGGCCAGGCCTCTGGGCCAGGAAGGGCCTGTGTGCTCGAACATTCCAAATGCAGACCCACTTTTCCTTGGCTTCCTCTCCCTGTTACTGCGCCGCCCTCCTCCTGGCCATTCCAAGTCAAACACCGGAAGCCACAGACACTTGACCCCTCCTTTACAGTCCCAAAGCCCGCTGCTGTCACCCCCCACAGCCGTGTCACTCTGCTCTCTGAACACCTATCTGTACACACACACACACATACACACCTCTTTCCTGGCTTCTCAGCCTCCTAGACAGACGGCAGGGCTCAGGCAGTCCTGCATGCCCACAGCACTGTGCTCAGGAGGCCAGCTCACTGGCCGCCTGGTGGGCAGTGTTCACAGCACAGCTTTGGCACACACTGCCCAGCCGAGAGCCCCTATCATTCCCTCCCTAGGGCTCTGCCTCTGGTGTTTTAAAGACCTTACTAGTGTTTGGGGGTTTCTATTAAGATATGGAGACAAACTCCCTCTCCCTGGTGACAGTTGTTTCTATCTAAATGTCAACGTATGTTTGGAGAACTTGTGTTCTGGAAAGGTGGTAAGGTGACCTGCAAAGGCCTGCCTCCCCCAGGGGAAATGAGAGGCCTGGGAGGTGCTGGGCTGGGAGAGAGGGAGGAGCTCCTTCCCAGCCTGAGGCTCGGTCACAGATGTACCTTTAAGGGAAGAGAATGGGAGAATTTCCCAGGTGAGGTCCTCACTGCCATATAGGGCCCTGCACCCGGCACTGCTCCTCTTCAAAGAATGCCCTTTCCCATCACCCCTTATGTTTACACCGGCCATCCTCTGGGGTCTGCTCAGAGAGCCCCTCCTGCAGGACCTCTCCTTTGGGCACATGCCCAGCACCAGGTCTCTTCTCATGGCAGTCCATGTGTGGGTCCCCTCTGCATTCCTGTGTCCCTGGTATGGGGCAAGGCCTGGACGCGCTCAGTGGCTGTGCAGAGGCTGTGAGGGCGGCTGCTCCCCAAGGGAATATCCCTGTGGGCAGAGGGGCTCTAGCCTGGGGCACGTACCAACCCCCCTGAAAGTCTGGTGAGCACAAAAGCAGTGGGTTCCCGCAGGAGTCTGGGAATCACCTCCAGGGATGGAGAAGATCTAAGCAGTAGTATTTCATTTGTTTTTAAATTGTGATAATTGAGGTTAAGTTCACATAGTTTAAAATTAACCATTTCAGAGTAAACAATGCAGTGGCATCTGGTACCCACACGGTGTTGAGGCACCACCACCTCCACCGAGTTCCAGAACACTCCCTCACTCCTAGGAACACCTCGCACCCCTGACCCTCAGCAGTGCCCCCCGGAGCAGGTTTTTATTCCTCCTTCCACTAACAGTTATGTCTTTGGAAAGAAAAATCTAGAAACATGACTGGTTTTCTGGACCACAGTGGCCCGGCCCTGGAATGTCTGTCATGCTCCTGCCCTGCTAGCTGTGACAGGGTGGGGATGAGCCCACTGCCAAGGTCGGCGGGTAGGACTTGGAAGGCTGTAAATAAAAACAGGAGAAAAAGACTCAGAAAAAAAACTAACTTGTAAACTTGGATATTAGCAATAGCAGCATTTTTATATGTGTGTGTGTGTGTGTGTGTGTATACTTTATATACAGGGGTGGGCAAAAGTAGGTTTACAGTTGCATGATGACACTATTTTTAGTTAAAGCTATTGTATAATCATAATCTATAGCCTGCATGGTTTTTTCCACATGAACCATAAACCTACTTTGCCCACCCTTGTATAATATTAAAATAAACTTTTACACAGACAAATGTATAAGGTGTCATGTCCATCTTATGTATTTATGTAATATGCAACATATGTATTTATATGATATATTTATATATACACACGTGCACATACGTGTACACACATTTAGCACTTCTGAAGCTTGCTCTTAGCTTCTTAGAGACCGAAGGAAGGGGGGAAACAGTGCACAGCCGCAGCCAGCAGGCCCTGCCTGCCCTGCCTTCCAGGGAGGAGTCCCTGCTCCCATACCTGGGGGACCCGGGGGACAGCAGGGAGCTGTGGGCCCGAGCTTGGGCCCCTCTCCAAGTGGGCAACCAAGGTGCTTGGTTAAGGCACCAGGTCCTCGGGCAGGCGCACAGGCAATTTCTTCAGAAGAACTTCGGAGGAGGCTCAAGACAGAGGCGAGAAGCGAGTATCACTGTGGGCCTCCAGAGGCGGCCCCGTGGAGAGGAGGAAACAACCATTTTATCTTAGAGCTCACGATAGAAAGACAGGCTCAGTCAAGAGCTCTTCGTGTTCTTCCAGAAAACGGAAGAAAACAAACTCGGAAGGAAGGAAAGAAAGGTGACAGGGCCCTGTGGGCTGGGACCTGGGAACAGGAGCTTGCCCAAGAGGCACAGGTCGCTTTCATCCATGTGTGGGGTTCCTCACACACGGCCAGGTCCCCAGGAGCTGGTGAAAATTTGCCAAACAAACGATATGCCTGCCAAACTTCATTTCTTTAAAAAATCTAGCATGTCAAAGATTATGATAGGCTGAAAGAATGTGGATTTTAGCAAAGCATTTGACAAAATGTCTCATGTTACCCATGTGGGTAAGACAGGTAAATACAGCTGGACAATGTTAAGGGTGGGAGAACCCCTAACTGGTTGGACTAGATGCCCAAGGAGGTGATCAACAGATTGATGCTGACCTTGAGTGACCTCTCTGGAGGTTGCCCAGGGCGTTACCAGCTACCAGTTACCTCAATGAAGACGAGGATAGTCTATAAACTGGTAACAGAGAGAAATCCAATAAAGATCTCAAAAAGTTGGGATCATGGGAGGGATTTACTAAAGGTCAATGTTAAGTCCGGTACTTTAGGTCCTAAAAACCAACTGTGTTAGATGGAATGAAAGA